TCCTTCTCATACACCGAATATCGTCTCTCAGTATCATTCAACTTTCTGTTTTTGTATGCCACTGGATGGCCATTCTGCACTAGTACTTCTCCAAGAGCAAAATGTGATGCATCTATATGAACTTCAAAGGGCAAATCAAAGTCAAGTAGTAGCAAAATTGGGCTAGTTGTCACTTGTCACCACTGCCTTTAATTGATCAAATGCCTACTAACATTCATAGGGCCAGTTCCAAGTCCTATCATTTCTCAAGAGNCACCATCCCATCAACAACTGGGATCTAGCTAAGTATATCAGCAATTTGATTCACATTGCCAAACTTATACTACAAAGTAAAATGGAATTGAGCAAGAAAGTCTTGTCATCTTGCTTGCTTTGGTGTCAACTTCTTCATGGAATTAAAGCAGCTTGTACCCACGTTGTTGGTCAGAATTAGGAAATGTTTTCTCAATAAATAATGCCTCCACGCGTTGACATAATGAATGACTGATATCATCTCCTTCTCATGCACCGAATATCGTCTCTCAGTATCATTCAACTTTCTGTTTTTGTATGCCACAGGATGGCCATTTTGCACTAGTACTTCTCCAAGAGCAAAATGTGATGCATCTATATGAACTTCAAAGGGCAAATCAAAGTCAAGTAGTAGCAAAATTGGGCTAGTTGTCACTTGTCACCACTGCCTTTAATTGATCAAATGCCTACTAACATTCATAGGGCCAGTTCCAAGTCCTATCATTTCTCAAGAGATCAGTTAGCACAACAACTTTCTTTGAGTAATTTTTCACAATCTTTCAATAGTAATTTGGCAAATCAAGGAATGAACATAAATCAGTCATTTTTGCAGGGACAAGTCAATTCACAATTGTATCAATCTTCTTAGGGTCCATCTTTACTACACGTGCAAAAATAATATACCCCAGGAATGAAATATTTTTCTGGGCAAATTCCCACTTTTTAGGTTTCAAATACAACTCCGCTTCCTTGAACTTAGTCAANTAGCAAAATTGGGCTAGTTGTCACTTGTCACCACTGCCTTTAATTGATCAAATGCCTCCTGACATTCATAGGGCCAGTTCCAAGTCCTATCATTTCTCAAGAGATCAGTTAGCACAACAACTTTCTTTGAGTAATTTTTCACAATCTTTCAATAGTAATTTGGCAAATCAAGGAATGAACATAAATCAGTCATTTTTGCAGGGACAAGTCAATTCACAATTGTATCAATCTTCTTAGGGTCCATCTTTACTACACGTGCAAAAATAATATACCCCAGGAATGAAATATTTTTCTGGGCAAATTCCCACTTTTTAGGTTTCAAATACAACTCCGTTTCCTTCAACTTAGTCAGAGCCAACTTAAGGTGCTCAGCATACTCCTCTAAGGTCTAACTATAAGCAACTACATCATATTCATATATATCACCATGAAATGATTTAAGTACTCTCTAAAGTTCATTGGTCATTAAATTGCAAAACGTAGCAAGGGCATTTGTTAAGCCAAAAGACATAATTAGGAACTCGTATGAGTCATACCTTGTCACACAAGCTGTCTTTGTTTCGTCCCCTTCAACGATTTTGACTTGGTAATATCCAAGATGTAGATCCATCTTGGTGAACTAGACTGCCTTCCTTAATTGATTGAACAACTCATCCACGAGTGGGAGTGGATAGTTATTTTTGACAGTTAACTTGTTAATGACCCAATAATCAACGCAGAGCTGTAAGGAACCATCTATCCTTCTTCTTTTGAAACAAGAGAGGGGCTCTGTACAAAGTTTTTGAGGTCTAATAAACCCAATCTTCAATAGATCACCAAGTTGCTTCCTTAACTCCGCCAATTCTTATGGAGACATTCGATAAGGCGCCTAGGTGAGGGTTTTCGCCCTTGGGAATAACTCAATGACATGATCACTCTCCTGTCTTGGTGGTAATCTGGCTGACAATTTGTTAGGTGCCACCTCCTTGAATTCTTCCAGCAACTGTTGAGATGGCTCAGAGACTTGCAACGTTTTGGGCTCCTCATCTTCAATTAATATAACCCAGTATGTTACTTCTCCCTTTTGTTGGCCATCTTTGACTTCTAAGGCAGACAACATTTTTCTCGAGATCTGATCGATTAAAGACGGTAGTGACAATTAGCTCAATTTTGCGACTTCTTGACTTTGATTTGTCCTTTGAAGTTCATATAGATGCATCAAATTTTGCTCTTAAAGGGGTATNTTGGGCTCCTCATCTTCAATTAATATAACCCAGTATGTTACTTCTCCCTTTTGTTGGTCATCTTTGACTTCTAAGGCAGACAACATTTTTCTCGAGATCCGATCGATTAAAGACGGTAGTGACAATTAGCTCAATTTTGCGACTTCTGGACTTTGATTTGTCCTTTGAAGTTCATATAGATGCATCAAATTTTGCTCTTAAAGGGGTACTGGTGCAGGAAGACCATTCAGTGGCATACGAAAACAAGAAGTTAAATGATACTGAGAGGTGGTAATCAGTGCATGAGAAGGAAAGGACAACAGTCATTCATTATGTCAACGCGTTGAGACACTATCTGTTGGGGAAGTATTTCTTGATTTNGAGGTGGTAATCAGTGCATGAGAAGGAAAGGACAACAGTCATTCATTATGTCAACGCGCTGAGACACTATCTGTTGGGGAAGTATTTCCTGATTCTGATCGACAACGTGGCTATCAGCTACTTCAATTCTATTAAGAGGCTGACACCGAAGCAAGCAAGATGACAGGACTTTCTTGCTCAGTTTCATTTTACCTTGTAGTGTAAACCTGGCAGTGTGAATTAAGTTGCTAATGCACTTATTCAGACCCCAGTTACTGATGGAGTGGTGGCCGCATTTAGCCAGATTGCAGGGGACATGATGCAGAGGATTCATGACCACACAAAGGATGATCTTTTCTGTTGAAGTAGGTTTGAGAGGGAGTGACTTGATGATTTTGGGTAGAAGAAGGTGTCCTCTATGCCAAAGGAAAGAAATCCAATGTTCTGAAGTCAGGTGGACTTCAACAATTGTTTGCTGAAAGAAACTCATGATGGTCAGGGCATTTGGGGTAGGAACAAACCTTTGCTCTATTAGCGAAAAGCTATTATTGGCCTCATATGGAAACAGATGTGGAACTCTGTGTGTGTACTTGTTTGGTGTGCTAGCAGGATAAACCGGAAAGGAGAAAGATGACGAGTACCTTGGAGCCTCGCCCCATTTCAAGCAGTCCTTGGGATAGTATTTCCACAGACTTCATTAATGGGTTGCCAAAGGTGAACGATTTTTACTTCGATTTTTGTTGTGGTTGACAGAATCTCGAAGTATGTAACCTTCATTGCTGCTCCAAAAGTTTGCTCTACCGAAGCTACAACCCAGTTGTTCCTCAAATACATTGTGGAGCATTGGGGCCTTTCCCTTAATATTGCCAGCGACAGAGATACCAGATTCACTATCCGGTTTTGGACGGCTTTGTTTGAGCTATTGGGCACACAATTCAACCTCTCCACTGGCAATCATCCAAAGATAGACGGACAGACTAAACAGGTGAATATGATGCTAGAGGAGTATCTGTGGCATTATGTCACAACAAATCAACAGAATTGGGTTGATTTACTTAATGTAGCCTAATTTAGTTTTAAATTGTAGCAAAGTTTTGTCACCAGGATGAGTGCATTCAAGTTGGCAACTGGTCAACAACCTTTCACTCTACATGAGGTGGCTAAACATAAATCTCAAGAGAGATGTCTTGCAGCATGTCCTTCACGTGGGCCCATTAGGAGAGGACCGAGGAGGCGAATGACTGTTTGGTTAAGAAAGTGAAGAGGATGAAGAAATAGACAGATGGGACTGGGAGGCTAGTCAAGTTTGATATTGGTGACAAAGTGGTGCTGAAACCTGACCCCACCAATTTGGAAAAAGATCACTCGGAAGTTTGTACATAAAGGATTGATCTAGCGCTATGACAGTCCTTTTGTTATTACAAAAAGGATTGATAGGTTGGCATATAGGCTGGATTGCCCTAGTTGTCTCAAGTTAAATCTAGTTTTTCATGTTGCATTCCTGAAGCCGTATATTGAGGATCAGAATCACCCAAGCAAATATGTTTGGTGTCGGGCTCCTCCAACAATCAATAAGCAGCTCATTGAGGTGGCAAAATCTATCCTTGACCACAAGATTGAGGGAATGAGTAAGAAAAATAGAAGGACTCATTACCTAGTCAAGTGAAAAGAAAAGGCATCGAAAAAAGCTACTTTGGAAAAGGAGACGATATTGTGGCAGTATGAGGATTTGATCAAGCAGTACCATTCTACCATTCTAATGAGGCTGTTGGATACTTCAAGTGGGGGTGACTTATCACACTCTAATTGACTTGGGTGCAGAATAGAGGGTCTTGGTGGCACTTGCATAAGTCACGTCATGAGTTGGAAGCAAGATAATGCAGCTAAGGTGTTCGACAGGTTGTGAGGACCGTAGCGGCGTGAGACCACTCGGCTAAGCATGACAGCGTGCAGTGGGCTCAATTGAGGCAATGTTGGTGCATGACTTCGAATTGCATGGCCCGAGTTTGACCCAACATTACTTGATGGCTCATGGGCAAGGCTTGATTGCAGAATTAATGGCACATGGCTGACACATGCATGTGACTAGACAGTTGAGGGAAACTGTTGCACAAGACCTGGTCAAAGGGAGGCCATTGTGAGCAAATAAGCCATAACCTGGTCATGGGCAAATAGATATGGGCGGTTACCACATCAGGTGCTGGAATGGTGGAACCGCCCGCCATCTATCGAGCAGAGAAGTAGTCTTGTTGAACGGTTTTGCTAAAAATCAGGCATGATTGTGTAATTGACCCTAGGCAGATGGGGGTGTCATTTGTCATGTCTCTGTATAAATAGGATTGCTAGGACATTCTGTAGGGGCAGATAGTCCTTGGCCGGATTTGAGTTTCCTTGTAATTGTGTGAGCATCAATATAAGGTTTGGTATTGTTTTTCCAGTAAATTCGTGTGTGGCCGGTGTGTGAGTGCATGTCCCTATATTCATGTTTGTGTGGCTGATTGCAGTAGCAATGCCTTCACGGGTAGCCTCAGTAGCGAGAGAAAGCGAAAAAATGAGTTGTTATCCTGTGATACTTGCACTAATTTTTTTACATTGTTTCCTTCCCAAATGCAGGGAGCTTGCAAAAGATTTTGTTGTTGCTGGTACTGCATCAGAATCCCTTTATGGTGCCTGTGAATCAATGTTCAAGCCTGACATGGTTTGTCAAACTCAAACTATCATGTCTTTTTTT